CAGAGGTGAGAAAAAGGAAGGAGAAAGCAAATGACGGTCAGAAAAAGGAGAGGAGAGAGCAAATGAAAGCGAGGGAGAAAAGAGAAAGAAAGCAAATGAAAGGTGAGGGAGAAAAAGGAGAGGAGAAAGAAATGAAAGAAGAGAGGAAAGGAGAGAAAGAAAGCAAAATGAAAGAAGACGGTGAGAAAAAGGAGAGAAAGAAAGGAAGAGGTGAGAAAAATGAGAGGGAAAAGCAAATGAAAGCGTTAAGACGGTGAGAAAAAAAGAAAGAGGAAGAAAGATTAAATGAAAGGATGAAAGCAATGAAAGTTAAGACGGTGAGAGAAAAGGAGAGAAAAAAAAGCAAATGAAAGGAGACGGTGAGAAAAAGGAGAAAGAAAGCAAATGAAAGCCTTAAGACGGTGAGAAAAAGGAGAGAGAAAGCAAAGGGTGAAAAGCGTTAAGACAGAGAAAAGGAGAGGAGAAAGCAAATGAAAACGTTAAGACGGTGAGAAAAAGGAGAGGAAAGAAAGCAAATGAAAACGTTAAGAGTGCGAGAAAAAGGAGAGAGAAAGCAAATGAAAGCGTTAAAAGACTGGGAGAAAAAGGAGAGGAAGAAAGCAAATGAAAACGTTAAGACGGGTGAGAAAAGGAGAGGAAGAAAATGAATGAAAGCGTTAAGACGGTGAGAAAAGGAGAGGAAGAAAGCAAATGAAAGGTTAAGAGGAGGAGAAGAAAAAAGGAGAGGAAGAAATCAAATGAAAGGGTTAAGATGGTGGAGAAAAGGAGAGGAGAAAGCAAATGAAAGCGTTAAGACGGTGAGAAAAGGAGAGAGAAAGCAAATGAAAGGCAAGACTGTGAGAAAAAGGAGAGGAAGAAAGCAAATGAAAGCCTTAAGGAGGTGAGAAAAGGAGAAAAGAATGAAAACGAAAGGAAAGAAAATTGAAAGTGTGAGAAAAAAAGGAGAGAAGAAAGCAAAATGAAAATGTTAAGATGGTGAGAAAAAGGAGAGGAGAAAGCAAATGAAAGCAGACGGTGAGAAAAGGAGAGGAAGAAAGCAAATGAAAGCGTTAAGATGAGGAAAAGGAGAAAGAAAGTAAATGAAAGCGTTAAGAGGGGAGAAAAAGGAGAGGAGAAAGCAAATGAAAACGTTAAGAGGGTGAGAAAAGAGGAAGAAAGCAAAAGCAATGAAAGTTAAGACGGTGAGAGAAAAAGAGAGAAAGCAAATGAAAGCGAAGACGGAAGAAAAAGGAGAGGAGAAAGCAATGAAAACGTTAAAAAAGAAAAGGAGAGGAAGAAAGCAAATGAAAAGCGGTGAGAGAAAAGGAGAGGAAGAAAGAAAAAAAGCAAGACGGTGAAAAAAGAAAGCAATGAAAACGTTAAGAGGGTGAGAAAAAAGGAGAGGAGAAAGCAAATGAAAGGTTAAGACGGTGAGAAAAAAGGAGAGGAAGAAAGCAAATGAAAGTGTTAAGACGGTGAGAAAAAAGGAGAAAAAGCAAATGAAAGCGTTAAGAGAGGTGAGAAAGGAGAGGAAGAAAGCAAATGAAAGCGTTAAGACGGTGAGAAAAAGGAGAGAAAGAAAGCAAATGAAAGCGTTAAGAGGGTGAGAAAAAGGAGAGGAGAAAGCAAATGAAAACGTTAAGAGGGTGAGAAAAAGGAGAGGAAGAAAGCAAATGAAAGCGTTAAGACGGTGAGAAAATGGAGAGGAAGAAAGCAAATGAAAGCGTTAAGACGGTGAGAAAAAATGAGAGGAGAAAAAGGAATGAAAAAGCGTTAAGACGGTGAGAAAAAGGAGAGGAAGAAAGCAAATGAAAGCGTTAAGACGGTGAGAAAAAGGAGAGGAGAAAGCAAATGAAAGCGTTAAGACGGTGAGAAAAAGGAGAGAAAGAAAGCAAATGAAAGCGTTAAGACGGTGAGAAAAAGGAGAGAAAGAAAGCAAATGAAAGCGTTAAGACTGTGAGAAAAAGGAGAGGAGAAAGCAAATGAAAACGTTAAGACGGTGAGAAAAAGGAGAGGAGAAAGCAAATGAAAGCGTTAAGACGGTGAGAAAAAGGAGAGGAAGAAAGCAAATGAAAGCGTTAAGACGGTGAGAAAAAGGAGAGGAGAAAGCAAATGAAAGCGTTAAGAGGGTGAAGGAGAGGAAGAAAAGCAAATGAAAGAGAAAAAGGAGAGGAAGAAAGCAAATGAAAGCGTTAAGACGGTGAGAAAAAGGAGAGGAAGAAAGCAAATGAAAGCGTTAAGAGGGTGAGAAAAAGGAGAGGAGAAAGCGAATGAAAGCGTTAAGAGGGTGAGAAAAAGGAGAGGAGAAAGCAAATGAAAGCAGAGGAAAGACGGTGAGAAAAAAGGAGAGGAAGAAAGCAATGAAAGCGTTAAGACGGTGAGAAAAGGAGAGGAAGAAAGCAAATGAAAGCCAGAGACGGTGAGAAAAGGAGAGGAAGAAAAGCAAATGAAAGCAGACGGTGAGAAAAAGGAGAGGAAGAAAGCAAATGAAAGCGTTAAGACGGTGAGAAAAGGAGAGAAGAAAGCAAAAATGAAAGCGTTAAGACGGTGAGAAAAAGGAGAGGAAGAAAGCAAATGAAAGCAAGAAGGTGAGAAAAAGGAGAGGAAGAAAGCAAATGAAAGCGTTAAGACGGTGAGAAAAAGGAGAGAAAAATGAAAGCAAATGAAAGCGTTAAGACGGTGAGAAAAAAGAGAAAGAAAGCAAATGAAAGGAGAGTGAAAAAAGGAGAGAAGAAAGCAAATGAAAGCGTTAAGAGGGTGAGAAAAAGGAGAGGAGAAAGCAAATGAAAAACTTTAAGTTAAGACGGTGAGAAAAAGGAGAGAGAAAAAGCAAATGAAAGCGTTAAGAGGGTGAGAAAAAAGGAGAGGAAGAAAGCAAATGAAAGCGTTAAGACGGTGAGAAAAGGAGAGGAAAAGAAAGCAAATGAAAGCCTTAAGACGAGAAAAAAGGAGAGGAAGAAAGCAAATGAAAGCGTTAAGACGGAAAAAGAGGAAAAAGGAGAGGAAAAAGAAAGAAAGCAAATGAAAGCGTTAAGAGGGTGAGAAAAAGGAGAGGAAGAAAGCAAATGAAAGCGTTAAGAGGGTGAGAAAAAGGAGAGGAGAAAGCAAATGAAAGCAAATGTTAAGAGGGTGAGAAAAGGAGAGAGAAAGAAAGCAAATGAAAAGGAGAGGAAGAATGAAAGGTTAAGCAGGAGAAAAAAGGAGAAAGAAAGCAAATGAAAGCGTTAAGACGGTGAGAAAAAGGAGAGAAAGAAAAGCAAATGAAAAAGCAAATGTTAAGACGGTGAGAAAAAGGAGAGGAAGAAAGCAAATGAAAGGCAGACGGTGAGAAAAAGGAGAGGAGAAAGCAAATGAAAGCGTTAAGAGGGTGAGAAAAAGGAGAGGAAAAAGCAAATGAAAGCGTTAAGAGGGTGAGAAAAAGGAGAGGAGGAAAGCAAAATGAAAGCAAGAGGGTGAGAAAAAGGAGAGGAGAAAGCAAATGAAAGCGTTAAGAGGGTGAGAAAAAGGAGAGGAAGAAAGCAAATGAAAGCGTTAAGAGGGTGAGAAAAAGGAGAGGAAGAAAGCAAATGAAAGCGTTAAGACGGTGAGAAAAAGGAGAGAAAGAAAGCAAATGAAAGCGTTAAGACGGTGAGAAAAAGGAGAGGAGAAAGCAAATGAAAGCGTTAAGACTGTGAGAAAAAGGAGAGGAAGAAAGCAAATGAAAGCGTTAAGACGGTGAGAAAAAGGAGAGAAAGAAAGCAAATGAAAGCGTTAAGACGGTGAGAAAAAGGAGAGGAGAAAGCAAATGAAAGCGTTAAGAGGGTGAGAAAAGGAGAGGAAGAAAGCAAATGAAAGCGTTAAGAGGGTGAGAAAAAGGAGAGGAGAAAGCAAATGAAAGCGTTAAGACGGTGAGAAAAAGGAGAGAAAGAAAGCAAATGAAAGCGTTAAGACGGTGAGAAAAAGGAGAGGAAGAAAGCAAATGAAAGCGTTAAGACTGTGAGAAAAAGGAGAGGAAGAAAGCAAATGAAAGCGTTAAGACGGTGAGAAAAGACAGAAGAAAGCAAATGAAAGGTTAAGACGGTGAGAAAAGGAGAGGAGAAAGCAAATGAAAGGTTAAGACGGTGAGAAAAAGGAGAGAAAGAAAGCAAACGAAAGCGTTAAGACGGTGAGAAAAAGGAGAGAAAGAAAGCAAATGAAAGCGTTAAGACGGTGAGAAAAAGGAGAGGAAGAAAGCAAATGAAAGCGTTAAGATGGTGAGAAAAGGAGAGGAAGAAAAGCAAATGAAAGCGTTAAGACGGTGAGAAAATGAGGAGAAAGCAAATGAAAGCGTTAAGAGGTTGAGAAAAAAGGAGAAAAAAGCAAATGAAAGGCAGTTAAGACGGTGAGAAAAAGGAGAGGAAGAAAGCAAAATGAAAGCGTTAAGAGGGTGAGAAAAAGGAGAGAAGAAAGCAAATGAAAGCGTTAAGACGGTGAGAAAAAGGAGAGAAAGAAAGCAAATGAAAGCGTTAAGACGGTGAGAAAAAGGAGAGGAGAAAGCAAATGAAAGCGTTAAGAGGGTGAGAAAAAGGAGAGGAAGAAAGCAAATGAAAGCGTTAAGACGGTGAGAAAAAGGAGAGAAAGAAAGCAAATGAAAGCGTTAAGACGGTGAGAAAAAGGAGAGAAAGAAAGCAAATGAAAGCGTTAAGAGGTTGAGAAACGGAGATGAAGAAAGCAAATGAAAGCGTTAAGACGGTCAGAAAAAGGAGAGGAAGAAAGCAAATGAAAGAGTTAAGACGGTGAGAAAAAGAAGAGGAAGAAAGCAAATGAAAGCGTTAAGACGGTGAGAAAAAGTAGAGGAAGAAAGCAAATGAAAGCGTTAAGACTGTGAGAAAAAGGAGAGGAGAAATCGAATGAAAAGAATTTTTTTTTTGTGTCGATAATAATGATTTAGTGATACAAGTCTTACTAAATTAATCCATAGCTAGGTGGAAAGGTATTTATAAGTGAATAGATCGAATCCAACTGGATTATCAGATTAACAATTCTATTTCATTATCCACCATCCAATCACCTGGTGTTCCCAAGTGGCCACCCTTCTACATACTGACCAGGCTCGACGTTGCTTAACTTAGATGATCGTACGGCAACTGGTGTTTCAGTGTGATATGGCTGTAAGCCTGAGATACGAAACTGGTTGCTCATTGCCTTCTCAACGGTTTTGAATTCAGTAATACTTCTAAATAGGCTACCACATCGTTAATGCTAGGGAACCCAGTCTACTCTGTTATTTAATCCATAGCTGGTGGAGAAAGAGAGAGATGTGGTAGATACATGCCTTTCTTAAAAGCATTTGTGTGGTAATGAACGAAACAGACCGTTCGAGAATTTGAACTCGGGTTACCGTTTCTACTTTGCGAGCCGATAACAGTTACGCTACCAGCACATCCTATAAGGAAACATACAAAAAGATAAAGAGAGAAAGTGACCATGAAAGAAAGAAAATAGGAAGTGATTCAGAGAAAAAGCAGAGAGAGAGAGAGAGAGAGAGAGAGAGAGAGAGAGAATGTGAAAAAGAGACGGCTGGCGCATTTTGAGTGACAGATTGTAAAGTGTGTTGCGAAGAGGGAGGTGGTGGTGGAATGCTGGTCGGATGTAATGTCGCGCCTTTACAATCGGAGTTGGCAAGTGCGCTCTTGCGACATCGCCCTCGGAATTAAAACAAATAGTCTCTAGGGTCCCTGCAAGCTTATAAACGATCATGTCGCAAATTCCACAGTCACAGTGAGGAGTAAATACTACTCTCTCTCTCTCTCTCTCTCATTCTCTCTCTCTCTCTCTCTGGTACTAAATATAATTCTGCTTGTTCCCTTTCCCATCAGATCCTTTTACACTACATTTGGAGTCTCTTTCTTTCTCCCCCACTCTCTCTCTTTTTTTTTCTCTCTCTCTCTCTTCGCTAGTATTAGACACCACTCCTTGCAGTTAGCTAACCTCTCTGCTATCGGAGAGAAGTGTGCCGGTTGCAATCTCATCTCACTTCACGTTTCTTTCCCGCCAGTTGGTCCGCCTCACCGCAGGGCATCATTCTCGTTAGTGTAGCGTGAAGAATGAGAGGAAATCATCCCAAACAGATTATGACTGACACACTTCGATAGCTGGCCGTGCGGCCGGCAGGCCAGCCGGTCCATCACTGTCGATGTTGTTGCTGCAGCTGCTGCTGCTGATTTTCGTACACCATAATTTTTTCTAAACACGCCCTTCATTCATTATTATATATATATATATATATATATATATATATATATATATATATATATATATATATCCATCGTTTTATGTTCGCGCTTATGCTTTTCCTTTGAAATCTTTTCCATAACCAGCGTTGTCATCGTTATTATCTCCCTTGTTCATCTGGTTTTGCCCTCAAACTTTATGTTTTCTCTGTTGTCTTTTCAAACAAACATTAAGTCCCTCTGAAGGATCTCGTTTTTTTCTATAAAACTCCGTTTGTTGTTTAAACAATGGCAACAGACATTACGAAGATGAACACGGTCAATAATGACCGCATTAACTTTCCGTGAACAAAGACTATATAAAGAGTGTTCCAATAAGTTGGACCGATTTTAAATGTGAATAAACTTTAAGCGTCTAATTTTTTTTTTCATTCAGATTCGGCGGATATTATTTTTCACACATAATTTCCATGACTTAAATAACAGGATCTAATAGAAAAATAAATAAATTTTCACTAATAACACTGATTTATTTACTGCTGACTTTGATCCGTCTTAATGAAACACACTTTACATATATGCACACAAACATAGAAGTTGTATTTACACTATTTACATGTTCGGACTGTTGTCCTAATCTTTGTTGCCATATTCACGACGTTGTTCTCATCTTTATTGCCATATTCACGACGTTTCGGCCGCTTTACGCTCTAATCTTCTTCGGGTGATATACCATATACGTTGGAATTTCTAACCGAACCCTTTATTTAGTCCACTAAAGTAGATTGTTCTAATTCCACATGCCATGCCTATTTTGGAAATCTCGATTTCAGTGATCCGAAAGTGATTTGATCCAAGGTGGTGTGATTTCAATATCTAGCCACAGCAGAGGGAAGAACATATTATTAAATATCTCTAGTACCTAACGGACTTGAGTAAATGGATCGCGGGACAAGTTTTAGGAGAGATGACAAAATTTATTAAGAGCTACGAAGGACAGGAAATTGTGGAGAGTCATAATTGCTAACATTATGAAGTGACACGGCGGCACATAGATGTGTCTTCTTCGATTTTTGGCTTTTTTTTCTTTTTCCCTTTTTTTTCTTCTTAAGAGGCGAGTCAAATAAGTTTGTAGCCGGACAGACTTATTAGTTGAATTTTGATCAGAAATGTTCAACGTATAATGTTCAGTCTGTGTGAATTAAACGCATCGACAACGAAGTAGATCACATTGAAAATATTTCGTATGTAAAATAAATGTTTTTTTTTTTTTTTTCTTCTCAGAATTATTGTATAAGTCTAAGAAGAATATATATATATATATATATATATATATATATATATATATATATATATATGTATGTATATCCTCGGACACTTTTTCATTCTCTTTTTAACATCTCAACATGCGAGTTGTAACCTCCACCCCTACTGGTTTTCTTCTTTGACCTCAGACGGCAGTTTTATAAAATCAAGTCCACATACTTTCTATTTTCATTTCTTCCTGTTACTTTTAACCACTCTAAACCAAAAATCAACATTCTCTACTAAATGTGCTTACGGCCGTATCAGGTTAAAACACCGGTTCCCGTACGATCACCGAAGTTAAGTAACATCGTGACTGGTCAATACCTACGTGGGTGATCGCTTCGGAATACCAGGTGCTATAAGCTTGGATGTGCGGGTGGTGCAATGGATAACGGCTCGGAGTTGTTAATCGGAGAGCTTAGTTCTAATTCCCGTTGGGTTCGTTATATTCACTTACGCGCAAATACCCTTGGGAACGGTATGAATCCACCTCTTCTCTCCACAGCAATGACTTGTATCACTAAACAATTATTATCTTTAAGAAAATATTCTTACAATCTAAAAAAATATTTTCTGGCTTTAAATAATCTAAAAAGTGTTGGTAAACCGTAAAAAACGAATCAACCAATCATTTAATCTCTATTAAGTGTTTCAGGAAGTAGGAGTCAAACATTTTCAAAATCGAAAACTATGATCTGAAATTGAAATGAAAGCAGGATTATTTATAAAAATTCACTATATGGAAGTAGTATATACTAAACAATTCAAATAATTCGGTGTATGGATTAGTTATAACAAATTTAGTATAAGAGATAAAGGAACTGAAGAGACAATAAGCTGCGTTCGAGGTAGATTTGTCCAACACATCAAGATGCAATGTTAACCCGAAAGCTTATAAATAGCCTCCTCAGATCGAACCTTTCATATTGATGCCAGGCATAGTTTCCAACCCATTCAAAAATGTCTAAACTATCAACTGTACACAACCACTTTCTCAGATCAGTGATTAAAAATGGAGTCAAGCGAATGAAGTCTGTAGATTTTGGAGGACACTCGTGAATTGGTAAACTACACAATTACCAACAGCAGCAATAACTAAAATGGATAGCACATGTAATTCTGAGAGAAAATAATGCCAATCAGGATGTTGATGTTCCACACTACTTTGAACAAAGGGCCTGGTCGGAAATTCTTTGCTCTAAGCGTTTATTTCTTGAGAGGAAATTAATCAAATAGAAAAAATGAAACCGAAAAGAGAGAAAGAAAAGAATATGGAGGATCAGAAAGAGAAAGAAATAAGAGAGAAAGAATGAGATAAGATAGGAGATAAGGATGAGGAGGAGAACAAGGAGAGGGAGAGAGAGGGAGAGAGAGAGAGAGAGGCAATGAGTGGTATAGTTAAAAACTGGGAAAGGGGGGAGGGGGCGGAAGAAAAAAAGCACGAGAAGCTGATTACCGACCGAGGGAAAGGAAAAAAAAAGGAAAGGTGCGGATTTGCTGAAGCGTCCGTCCACGTGACCAATAGTGTATTTACGACCGTGCCTTTCAAAGAATTGTGAATATTTAATGATCAGCAGGGGCCTTGTCAAAATCAGTAAAGTTTTACCCACAGCGCCACAAGCACTGGCCCTGCTATTTTTTTTTTTTTTTTTTTTTTTAAAGATAACAGAAGAAAAAAGAATGGAAAATAAAATTAAGAAAATTATAAAAATAGCAAAAAAAACCCAAACCAAACCGCCCCCACCGCGCCCAAAAAAAACAAAAAACAAAACAAGAACAAACTGATTTTAAATAAGTTATGCTAAAAAAAGAGACGAAGTCGATGAATTCTACATTATGACGTATCAGGGACAACAGAACCATTTTTATTTGTTGAGGACAAAGTATTACATCAGAAGTAGTTTTCTATTCATTTGTGGGCAAACTTGAAGGAAACAGACGATATATTATTTCTCATATTATAAATATATATATATATATATATATATATATATATATATATATATTAAATAAACAAATGTTTGAGCTACAAAATTTATATATAGTTTTAAAAACAAGGAATGTATTGATTTTAATTTTAAAAGTCTCTAGGGCCCTTTCAGCCAACATCTCATCAGGAGACAATCGTTGATCAACGAAAAGAATATTAACGACAATGAAGAGCAAAAAAGAGGGGAAACACACTAAAATAACAAACAAGTGTATATATTTGTACCGGGGGGAGGGGAAATAATCGTGTAAAATAAATTAGCGAGGGACAGTTAAAATAATATATATATATATTTTTTTTTTTTTCTATATATATATATATATATATATATATATATATATATATATATATATATATATATATATATATATAATTTTATATATTATGTATATAATTCTATATTATATATATAATATAATTTTGTAATATATTATTATATTCTTTTCGAAAATACATCTGTTTGATGCTTCGGCACAAATCATCAATGATATTTTTTGCTAAAGACCATTAGGGTTTGAGTCTTACAACATCATACAAACCAATCGGTACTAACACACACACACACACACACACACACACACACACACACACATATATATATATATATATATATATATATATATATATATATATATTAGTACTTAGGGCAAGGTCTTGTCCTCGAAGAGCTGGTAATCCAGCAAAACTTAATTGCACACGAAAACGTAGGTAACCGTTTATGTACTAATTAATATATATCGTTGTTAATATGACCACATCAAGCACTAATATGTTTACATGTCATGCATGAATTTGACGATTATTTATTTGCTTACCCGCGTATGCACACCAGCAGACACTTGCATATATCTAGCCATTTGATTTATCTATTTTTATAACTATAACTATATATATATATATATATATATATATATATATATATATATATATATATATATATACAGTGTAACCCGGATATAAGAGAGTTGTCGGTACCGGAGAAGTAGTCTCTTATATCCGGGTTTCTCTATATCCAGGTTTGGTCTATTTTATATACATCAACACAGGCTCTAATTTGGGACCAGAGAAAATCTCTTATATCCGGGTTTCTTTATATCCGGGTTCTTATATCCGGGTTACACTATATATATATATAACCGAATGGGTAAATAGGTATGTATACGAGCGGGCGATTGTATACAAATACATATAAATACTCTATAGTGTAAGAAAAACAGTTCTTAATGTTAAGTAACAGAGCTATTTAAACATTTAACGTGTGTATTTACATATTTATATGTTCCTATTTAAGGCTCTTATTTCATTTTACTTTATTTTTCTTATTTCATTTTATTTTATTTTCTTTCCATTGCTATTATTATTATTATTAGTAGTAGTAGTAGTATTACTAGTAGTAGTACTAGTAGTAGTACTTTATTTTATTTTATATTATTCTATTTTATTTTATCATAGCATACTTTGTTCTTGATGTCATTAGTTCTTGTTATTTTAGTAACATTATTATCAATTACTGTTTACTTGATTTTGGGGAAAAAATTGAGTTGCCCTCGTTTCAAAACCAGCGTTTCTCTAATTTAGAATGTATATTTTTTCATTTCTAACCTTATTTTCAAACTTAAATGTTAATCTGAGCTTAAATTCAAATTCAAAATTAAACTACAATTCATTTAAATATTTTAACTCCAATAATATTCCACCCCAACAATAATATATCTCGCGTGAACCAGAAAATTAAAAATAATAATTCCAGCACTTGAAAATTGCTTCGGCATGAAACTCGGAGTTCTGCAATTAATGTAAGACATTATGAATATTTCTTATACATATACTGGGTTGTCAGATAAATTCGACCGTTTTTTCCAATGCTATTTTAATTAAAATTCCAAATATTTTTTGTCATAATATCTTACGTTTTTCTTTTGCATTTCTCTTCATCCTCTGCAACATTTTGTATGCTTTTATAGTATTGACAGATTTGTTAAAATTGTTGATGAATAATAAGATTAAAATAATCAGAAAAAAAAAGAACTAATTTATTGACAACCCAATACATAATTATATTTGTTGTAACCTAGAAAGGGTTACAGAATGAGGAATAACCAAAACGGAGGTTGGAAATAAAATGGAAATCTTTATAACATCAACAAAATACAATACTCGCCAGCACCGTGAAGTAGGTAAACCAATGCAAGTGGTGCACTACTTAGACTGCAAATTACCCGCCATTTACAATAGTGTCCAACGTATTTATGAAGATTGGTGGTACACATTAGTGTTCATAGGTACGGTATATAATAACAATATTATAAATAATTATAAAACACACACACACACACATACATACATACATACATACATACATATATATATAATCGACTCTCCCGTCGCGTTCGACGTATGAGGGTCAGGCCGATAAGTCCCCAGGAAACCGACATCCCGACACCGGCACATGAGATTTGATTATAGTGGTGAAAGGCCTCGTGCAGGACCAGCCACACTTTTTTGAGGGACGAATACAGAAACCTGGTGCACCGAATGCATGCCACAAGGTTCCCAAACGACCCTCCGCAGGTTTTGAATTCAGAGTTGTCCTTCTCCTAGTTGCCATCCAAGGCTATAGAACCCAGTCTGTCCTGCTATTTTACCCATAGCTGGAGGGAGATGAAGAGGATACATACCTTTCCCAAGGGTATTAGCACGTAAGTGAATGTAATGGATTCGACTGGAATTCGAACTCGGCTCTGCGATTCCTCAATCCAAGCCGCTTATCCACTGCTCCACCGTGCCTCCTACATATATATAAAAAAGTGAACATTGAAGTCAATACTCTGAGGCGACAGGCTGTTTCATTGCGTCTAGCATGAAACACTACGTCGACTCTGAGTGTTAACTGCAATGTTCACCTTTATATTTATATACGCTCTATCTCTGACATTGAGCACTTTATCCCATAAATATATTACACCTTAAAACTATATTTATTCATATATATATATATATATATATATATATATATATATATATATATATATATAAAATTAATAATGCAAAAAATGTCACTTTTATTGATTGATGTTATATTCAGCACCCCGACTCTTGAGTTTCGTAGCTGAACATTTTGTAATCGTTCAGTTCACCATGCCTAGCATAACCACAGACGGCTTCTGAGCAAATCCCGTCTATCTACTTGCAAAGTTTGGGTCATCCTGTGATGTGGATTTTCAGGCATTTTCCAAATGTTACGTATGGCGGTATCGCCTCTCCTCTGCCAGTAACATCTATATGTCACCTTCCTGGTTATATTCGAATCCAGGTGTCATAGTCAGAAAAGGCCCGCTTGTACACTGCTTCTATTGCATTGTACACGTGTGC